GTCGATTGTCTTACCTCAAGAGCAGCAAACTCCCGCAGCAGTTGCAGCCGCTGTCTCTGAATGCGCAGCAGCAAGCATGATTGCTGCTGCTGCTGCTGGTGCTGCTGTTGCTGCTGTTCGGGATGCTGCTGCTGCTGCTGCTGCTGCTGCTGCTGCTGCTCTGCAGCACCTGTCTCTGTCGCATTCATCTCCAGCACTCTCTCTGCGCTTGCAAGGGCCTGGAGGGCCTCATGAATGGCGGCTTCTTGCTGCTGCTGCTGCTGCTGCTGTTGCTGCTGCTGCTGCGGAGTGTCTGATCCCTGCTGTCCTGCTGCAGCAAGGCGTGCAGCAATTGCTTTTGCTGCTTCAGCGCATGCGAGGTGTATATACACCGCAGCTTTGGGGCGGCAGCTGCAGGCCGCAACTGCAGAATCCCTCGCCCGACAAACTGCTGCTAAGGAAGCACCCCCATTGCCCTGCAGCAGCAGCAGTAGCAGCAGCAGCAGCAAGAGCAGCAGCAGCAGAAAGAGCAGCAGCAGCAAAAGCAGTAGAACGCCGTGGTTTGCAAAAGGAATAGACTTCCGCAGGTCGTCAATAACAGCAGCAGCAATACATTAGCTGCAAGTGTAGCAGCAGCAACAGCAGCAGCAGCAACAGTAGCAGCAGAATGCCCAAAGCAGCAACAGCAACAGCAGCAGCAATAACGCACCGGTAACAAAACAGCAGAGACAACAACAGCAGCATCAACAGCAGTAGCAGCAGCGAGAACAACAGCAACAGCAGGAACAAAAAGAACAGCAGCAGCAGCAGCATGAACAACAGCAACAGCAGCAGCAACGGCAGCAACAGTAGCAGCAACAGCAACAGCAGCAGCAGCAGCAGCATACTAGAGATGCGATGTATCTACACCAGAGTTGAGAGTCGTGAGGGAAATGACGAATTGCTCTTTGAAGTATTTGTCTGTGTGCATGCAGCAGAAATGAAGAAGAAAGCCCTTTCCTTCGTGCTGCTGCTGCTGCTGCTGCTGCTGCCTTTGCTGCTGCTACAGCAGCAGCAGCTTGCGCTGCTGCTGCTGTCTTTCCCCCCGCTTCTTCCCCACCTTCTGCAGCAGCAGCAGCTGCTGCTGCAGCTGCTGCTGCTGCAGCAACTGCAGCTTCAGGCGTATCGTCTTCTGGCTGTTCCTGCTGCATTTGCTGCTGCTGCTGCTCCTTCTCCGCAGCCGCAGCAGCAGCAGCAGCATCTCCACAGCTCTGGCTTGAGGCCCCCTAACTCCTCTAAAGCTCTGAAGTACGTTACTAAGACTCTCGCGTTGTCTCCTTTCTGTTTTTCGCTGTCAATATACTCAGCCCACACTCGAGCTATCAGCTGTACATACACCCCAAATAACAGCAGCAGCAGCAGCAGCAGCAGCAACAGCAGCAGCAGCAGCAGAAGCAACAGCAGCAGAAACAGCAGTGAAAAGAAATTCATTCGCAAAGAACAAATCCTCATCCCAACAACAGCAGCAGCAGCAACAACAAAGCTGCCACCATCACCAGCAGCAAAAGCAACAGCAGCAGCAGCAGCAGCAGCATCCAAAGCAGCAGCACCCACAGCAGCAGCAGCAGTAGCAACAGCATCCAAAGCAGCAGCACCCACAGCAGCAGCAGCAGTAGCAACAGCAGCAGCAGCAGCACCCACACCAGCACCAGCACCCACACCAGCAGCAGCACCAGCAGCACCCACAGCAGCAGCAGCAGCACCCACACCAGCAGCAACAGCAGCAGGAGCAGCAGGAGGAGCTGACATGTATTTGTCTATTTGCTTGGTCTTCTTCTAAGGCTCTCTGAATATTCATTTCGTACTTCTTGCGGCTGCTGATCCACTCGTTGCTGCCCTCTGCATGCAGCGCAGCCCCAATTAAAAAGGCCTCCTCGCTGCCCGAATGCTCCTGCTCCCAAACCCTAAACCACAAACCCTAAATCACAAACCCTAAACCCTAAACCCTAAACCACAAACCCTAAACCCTAAACATCTTAACACAAGCAATAAACATCTTAACACAAACCCTAAACCCTCAACCTTAAACATCATAAAAATGCAAACCTTAAACCCTACGCCATAAACACGAACCCTAAACCCTAAACCCTAAACCCTAAACCCTAAACCCTCATTTCTATGAAAATACCCTCAAAGACGAAAACCCTAAACCACGAGGAGGAGGCAACAACAAGAGACAGAGAGAGAGACAGAGAGAGAGAGAGAGAGAGAGAGAGAGAGAGAGAGAGAGAGAGACAAAAAGAAACAAAAGGAGACAGAAGAAGAGACAAAGCGAGACAGACAGAGACAGACAAACAGAGACGAAGAGACAGACAGAGACAGACAGAGACAAAGAGAGACAAAGAGAGACAAACAAAGAGAGACAGACAAAGAGAGACAGACAGAGACAAACAGAGACAGACAGAGACAAACAGAGACAAACAGAGACAGAAAGAGACAGAAAGAGACAGAAACAAATAATTAGACAGACAGAGACAAGACA